TTTTTTTGTTTTGTTTTGTTTTTTTGTTTTTCGAGACAGGGTTTCTCTGTGTAGCCCTGGCTGTCCTGGAACTCACTCTGTAGACCAGGCTGGCCTCAAACTCAGAAATCCTCCTGCCTCTGCCTCCCAAGTGCTGGGATTAAAGGTGTGTGCCACCACCGCCCGGCCCCACTTTTCTTTTAAACCCTTTTAATTACATACAAGTACTTAGGTCAATTCTAGGTTAAGGAACCAACAATACAATAGATACAAACAGTCAAGGAACAAACAAGGCCACATGCAAAGTCCCACGATCTGGGGAGTGATCACTCTCAGGCTCTTTGGGATGACAAAAAATATCTGAGCCTACTTCTCTGTCCTAGCCCACAGTCATATTCATGCCTGAGGCCTACTTCTTTGTTCTAGCCTAAGACTTGGATTCCTGCCTGAACTTACTTCTGTTTTAGCCTAAAATTAGATTCCTGCCTGAACTTACTTCCTTGTCCTTGGCCAATGTCAGATTCCTGCCAAACAGCCCCAAAAGCTCCCCACCGGATTCTGCAGTGGAAATAATTCTAAACCCTGTTTTCCAATCTGAGCATCTGGCCATCATGTGATAGACAGTGGGAGCTGGGCGGTGGTGGCGCACGCCTTTAATCCCAGCACTTTGGAGGCAGAGGCAGGCGGATTTCTGAGTTCGAGGCCAGCCTGGTCTACGGAGTGAGTTCCAGGACTGCCAGAGCTACACAGAGAAACCCTGTCTTGAAAAAACAAAACAAAACAAAACGACAGTGGGAACCCTTGATATCAGCAAGTCTTTGCACATAGGTTCTACAACTGGCAAAAATTATTGGAACTATGTGTCTTTCTAGTTTGCTTCCATGGTTTCCCCCTGGGTTCCTTGGGTTAAATTCCTAAGAGAGAATGAGAATTGCACACATATGCTCACGTACACACTTCTGATTGCCGTCATTTGGTCAGGCAGGGCTGTACAAATGATGAGCTTCCAGGTAGTTTACAGATGGCCTCTCTGATCAACTGTGGTCCTGAAGTAGGGTCACATAACAAAAGCATAGCACCTCAAATTTTGTTTTCAACTATGTGTTTGCCAACTAAATGATCTACTCTGGCTGGTGTCTGATACGCACAGAATTCCCAATATCTACAAACTCCCTATGATTCTAGTAATCACATTATTTTTGAAGTGCCATAAGTAGGTAGATGCCTTTTGAAATTCTGTCTAGTCACTATTTGAAAAATCTTATCATTCTGAATGAGGGAAAAAAAAAGCACACGAGGCTAGGTTCAATGAAGCAGTGTGTTGTAATTTAAAGGTCATGGACTTTGGAGTTACACATACGTAATGCTAAATTTCTACAATGCCTGTCACTATTTATGTCATACAAGACATTTACTCTTTATTTCTCAGCTTAGGGTTCCTCCCCTCTAAAATGGGGTCAAAAGCTCCTTTTAGTAAATTATATTAAATTTACAAGTTGCTTGAAATGTAATTTATCTGATGTAGAAAATAAAAGTTGGGCTGGAGAGATGGCTCAGTGGGTAAGAGCACTGAATGCTCTTCCAGAGGTCCTGAGTTTAATTCCCAGCAACCACATGATGGCTCATAACCATCTGTAGCGGGATCTGATGCTCTCTTCTGGTATATCTGAAAACAGTGACAGTGGACTCATATACATAAATTAAATAAATCTATCTTTTTTAAAGAAGAAAAGTTAATGTCAAGTTCTTGATAAATGTAGATGCTTAATAGGTGTTAAGTCTGCTTTTAACTAAAAACGTTTATAAATAATACTGCTACTCGGAAGCTGAGGCACTGTGGAGATTGGAGATACAATTATAAAGGAAGACATTCCTCTCAGGGACCTTTCGACCCAACCTAATCACTAGAAAGAAAGAAAGGAGGAAAGAAAGAAGGAAAGAAAGAAAGAAGGATGGAAGAAGGAAGGAAAGAAGAAATCAACCAGGCAAATCAGATGCACTAGTTCAATCAGTGAAAACGATCTGAAAGAAATTACACCAGTAAAAATGCACAGACTGGAGATCACCATGTAAAGAGAAATAAATCAGACTCAGAAAGACACATGTCTTACCTTTTCTCTCATACACTGATATAGATTTTAAACTCTATCTCTCTCCATATGTAGAAAAGATACATATATAGATGTGTGTGTGTGAGTGTATGTGTGTAAGCATGTGTGCGTGTGGACTGAGTAGAAGGATGAAGGGTTCGGTTTGAAAGGGAGAAGGAGAAGAAAACAAATATTGCAACTCTCATATGCAGAACGTTATGTGTGCATAACATGAAAGCAGAAGTGGGTAGTCGGGAGGGAAGGGCTGGGTGCCAAGAGAGGGTGAGGGTGGATTGAATGTGATACGCATGTACAAACAAGCTGTGAAGAAACAAACACATTACACTTACATAAAAATTAACTAAACAAACCATGCCTGCAATGAACGGTAGGGAGTTGAATATAGGGGTGTGCACAAAAAATGAAAATAAAGAGCTTCTCTTTACATGGGAACCTATTCTGACTGAGGAGATACACTGCTTACATGGATATTGATAGTTTTCTTGTTATAGCTTCAAAAATACAATGTTCAACCTTTTTTTTTAGATTTATTTATTTTATGAATTTGAGTACACAGTTGCTGTGATCAGATATACCAGAAGAGGGCGTCAGATCCTCAGATGGTTGTGAGCCACCATGTGGTTGCTGGGAATTGAACTCAGGACCTCTGGAAGAGCAATCAGTGCTTTTAACCACTGAGCCATCTCTCCAGCCCAATATTCAACTTTTAGAAGCCAGTTTCTGTTCGATGATCTGGTTCCATCTATCCTAAATTCAACAAATAGATATTGATAGCACAAATCTTTATTTAAATAGGTCATACTTCAGCCTTCAAGCAGTATACTTAAAATTTTGTCAGTTTGCGCATTTCTTTACTATAACTCCATTTTCTCCCCTCTTTCCTTCACTGTTTAAAAAGGAGTTTCTGTCCTGAATCAGGACTTTCTAGATAGCTTCAATTTCTATTACTGAGATCATCTTTTCCCTGTCACCTGATGTGTAATCTTAACTTTTTCTAAATCACGTTTTTTTTGGTTTTTGGGTTTTGTTTTGTTCTCTCTTTCTCTCTCTCTTTCTTTCTTTCTTTCTTTCTTTCTTTCTTTCTTTCTTTCTTTCTTTCTTTCTTTCTTTCT